ATCTCCTTGACTATCATGGAAATGGATTTTGAAATCCCCCACTAACTCAGCCAGACCAGGCTGCCCTGGTAGAGCAAAAACTACAATCCCTTTCTTCCGTGCATTGATCCAGAAATCCTCTGGCTGAAAAAAATGAGTTGGGGGCCTTTAAATAAGGAATTCAATACACGTGGACATAGGTGTTAAGGAGATCAAATAACAAGCATACAATTAATATGCACCCATTTTATTTTAACAAACACTTACCATTAGATCTTTTGTTTTCGGATGTTTTCTTGATGAAAATAAAATTCCTGTGGATTAAGGAAAACATCTTGATAACTGACATAAAAAAATGACAAGCGCAGTGCATAGCCTTCTAAATGTGCAAAGGTGGGAAAAAAAATTAAAAATTCTATACATTTGACATTATACAAAAAAGAAAGCACAAGAAATTGCAGGAATCAAAAACTGACATCATACTGTAAGTTTCATTACAAGTTACAGAGATTTCCTCTCATGATCAGGCCTTATAAAAACATGCACACGCAAGAAAACTCAACAATCAAACATCAGTGCTGAGAGGATAATCACACATACACACACAAACAAACAAAATGTATTATCATTACAGCATCAAGGATTGTATTAATACACAAGGGTAACTCTGAGAAGTGCAGTCTATAACTCAGTATTACATTCTCTCATTGTAAATGCTCTTTTTACCCGAACAACTCAAAAGGTCCAATAGTAACTAGTTCAGGAAGTGAACAGTAGCAGAAAAAGGATCAACATTAACAAATATAACAGCATATTATATCTATAAATGAAAAGTGCGATGACTCAAAACACCACAATATATTGCAAGGTTGATAGGAATGAGTGGCAGCAGCAAAGTAAAATGCTACCATTATGATCAGAGATTGTAATGGAGGGCCTAATCCAATAAGGGCAGTTGTGAAGCCGAAATCCCCTGAGCATGCACCTATAATATTACAACTTTAGTACCTTTTAAAATGGAGCCTTACACACACACACACACACACACACACACACATAATATACAGGTAGGTGATCAAATAATGATCTATGTTGAGAACTTTAGCTATAGACGACTGAGATGCATCTCAACCACTATGCACCTTAATCATCTATAACCAATCCAATAGCTCAGATGCAAGCCTTCAACTTAAGTCCCCAAATTAGGTCCTCATTACAACACCGCCATATCACATACATATGCATGTATATACATATATGTGTGTGTGTGTGTGTGTGTGTGTGTGTGTGTGTGATAATATATGGGCACATACAAGTACATGGTCACATTGATCTATTTTGGAGGAAGATATCCGAAGTGTACCTTCGAGGGGAAGGGATTTCTCCATTGAAGTTTTTTAAGATATGCTCAAAATATTTGACGTATCTCTAGGAAAAGCATAGAAAAATTGTTAATCAGAATGATGGCAAAAGATAAGGAACATCAACCTTAAAAATACAGAATCAAAAAGGTTAATTGACACTGACAATCTGACTTGGGAGAACCAGAGCCTTTCCATCTATGCATCTTTTATGGTTATAGTAATTAATGGCCTCCTCGGCCGTCGGGAAAAACTGCAGAGAGATGACAAAAGAAAAATGAAATTATAGTCAGAAGTGAAGAACTATAGATCCAAAAGAAGCGCAACATTTCAAGTTCTGCCATAAACCCCCCAAACCGTAACGGTTCTGATTATACATCTCACCTTAAGAAATAAGAGAAGACTACAAATCATTAATCCTGTCCTCCCCATACCAGCTTTACAATGAACAACAACAACATTTTCAATGCCCTCCTTTAACCACGAATGAGCACTTCGACAGAATGATGCTATGAGTTCGACTGGGGGGCAATTATGATCATCAAATGGGAAACTTGCAGCCTTAAAACATTCAGAGAAGTGAAATATTAAAGAAGCTGTTATTCAACATAACTGGAAAACAGAAGTGCAACATTGAAAAGTTAAAACCTCTTGATCCATTTCACATTCTAAATAAATATTCAAATCCCAGTGGCAAGCTTTCAACAGTATTCTTTCTCAATATATAACACAGAGAAGATAAATCATAGCTCTCATTAAGTGTTTCACATCATTCACATAATATATTTATGATTTCATTAGTGTCTATTTTGTTATTTAATCGAGATGTGAGTTTGAAGTGGAAAACTTTAAAAGCTCCCTCAGTGATACAGAAGTCATCAGCAATTTGTGTAAAAAAGAAATAAAAAATTCAAGCACTTAACCTAGCCTTAATTTTTCCATTATAAGGCTACACATTTGTGCAAACATCAAGAACCAGAAATCTTAGTGACACAGTCTCACAACCTGGTGCACTGACAAATTAATTGACATTCCACCATGGCTATCTGGTACAAAGACAAGAATTTAATGTATTGAGTTATGCCAATAGATATACCAGAGAAAATTTTGAATCTTGCAATTTTCCATAAGACAGAATATCAAATTCCTATACTTCTTGTAAAGCATTGAACATAATGCAAGTGAAAATGAAAACACACCTTCCCCTCAAATCGTGATGCATCATACAACCTCTCTGAACAAAGATTGTACACTTTATATTTTCCCTGTAAAACAAATGTCAATTTGACATAAATTTTGTGAATAAATTGTTGGCCAAAAAAACAATGAAGTCACAATTTAAAAAACGACAGAACCGTAACTGGACATGATCCAGAGAAATGTAAACCATATTCTTAAGCCTACAACTTTTCTTCTGGTAATTAGTGGAATGCTGATCTTTTCTTGAATCATAACCAGATTTTCATGTTGCATAAAGTAAAAAGTAAAAATTTCAGCCTTAAAATTTAAGATCCAGTTCTTACCTTGTGTTGAGTTTCCAAAAAGTTGATCACTTCTTCCATATGATTTCTATAAAAGCCCTGAATAACATTTTTTTTAGTTGGTAATGTTTGCAAATGATACAGGCGAACTTAACCTATTAAACTTCAAACATATACCACTTTCTTTTCTTACCTCAACATATCCAAAAATTCCAGAGCTTATATCTCCAGCCGGGAAACCCATAGCAATTATATTTTCAGTAATATATGTCAGATCCAAATCAAAACCTCCCTCCTGAAAATTTAGTGGAAATAGATGAAATAGGAGATCTTCATGAGTTTTGGCTCTTTGATTTAATCTGTATGATTTGAAAATGAATATGGCAATCTATGATGGAGACATGAAGCAATGACAATCAACTAAAGGGAGATAACAGAAGCTAGCAACCTACCCAGCTTCCCCATCCATAAACCGCCATTCGCATTCTAACAGAAATCCAAATGGAAATAAAATACTTGAATTTGTAGCTACACTCAGCAGTATTTAATCTAGAAGAAATAAAAATTGAAGTAGCTCTCAACTCTGGTAATCTACCTGGTATCTTCGTTTGTTTTGAGAGACTAGATGGCGAGCCCTGACCTGCACAGCCTTCACTGCACTTTGAGATGTATTAACCAAACCTTTTGTAAATGATTGAAAAACCCCAGAGACCGCTTTGGCATATTGATTACTATTATCTTGACCAGAGGCAGCAGCAGCAGTAGAATTTTCAACACCAGAATCTTGAGCAGGAGGTTGAGCTTTCGAGTCATTAGATTTTGAATCCATTCTGGAACTCAATGGAGATCCTAAAAACTACCCAGGTAAAGCATGTATCACTACAAGTCCACATCAATAGATACCACCAACAAAGTGATTGCTTTATAACAGGAAAATAAGCAAAGGATTTCATCTTCAGATAGAAGCTCAATCATTGGAACTTGGAACCCAGATGAAGGATTTAACCAAAGCATTCACATTCAAAGCTAATAAATGCACTCAAATAGAAACATGGGTTGAAGACAACAATTGAAGTTGTTGATGAATAACAATGCACCATACATCACAGAGAGGAAGATCTGTCAAGATTGCTTTTGCGATGGACAAAGTGAAATTTTCATATTCATGAATTTATGTACTGCGAATCTACTCGCTTCAACATTTACCGATCGAATTGATCAATTCAAAAGATCAGGTGCCAAATTGTAGCATATAAAAGTATCGAATGGGCAATGTGAGATCACTTACCGTTACAGAGTCTGGGTTTGAAGCAAAGGATTGTGTAAAGGCGAAGACCCTTTCACGGTTTTATAATGAAAATTGAAATGAAATGAATGCTGCAGAAAAGGGGGTGTGGTGTGATTATCGCCTCGTGAACCTTTCACTCTTGCTGGCCGTTATTCGTTATACAAGCTTCCACTAATTATATGGGTTTTTTTGAGTAATTGTTTGGAGTAAACTCTTTTTGTTAAGAGATGCGTTTATCCGCTATCTTTTGAGTAGTTTAACGGTGCGGTAGTCTATGCTTATGATATTACATGATTTTAGATTGCGGTTTCTCTCTCTTACATAGGTAAGACCACATACGCACATAGATTGTTGCTCGATAAGTTTTTATGCAAATTTTCCTATCAAAGCCTGATTGTTTTCTTTTTTTTTCAACTTACATAAAAATAATGAGCCGGGGTTCATAGCTCAAGTTGTTAAAAGTTGTTATCTTTGTACACGAACTCTTGTATTCGGATCTTACCTACCCACACTATATTTTTTTATTTTTTTATTTTTTATTTATTAAAAAAATAAATTTATAAAACCAAGATGAGTCGTCTTAAAAAATTTGATGATCATTGACATAAAACAAGAAAAAACATGAAGGTAGAAAGAAAAAGCAAGTGGGACCAATAGGCGTACATGGCCCAGGCCCAGATCCCATCCAGATCCAATTGTGGCTGAGTAAACCGGAAATAGATCCGGTCGAACCGGACGATCAGTAAACCGAGGTCTCCTCCTCCGAATGAAATAGCCCAGACAAAACCATTCTCAAGCTCTCTGCATTTATCAAATCAAACGACAACAAATAAACAGAAAAAGCCGCGCGCCCGCAGAGAGAAAAATTGAGAGAGAGATAGAGAGAGAAGAAAAGAGACCACCAAAGAAACAACGGGAGCGGCGGGCGTGGGTCTCGCCGCAGCCGCCGCGGACGATCCGTTCAAGGGATCGCCGTTCGCCGCCGTCTCCGATTGGACCTACGGCGTCTCGCGCCGTTATCAGCACGGCTGGCGTGCCTGGGCGTGGCCTTGGTCTACGTCATCCGCGTGTACCTGGTCCAAGGCTTCTACGTCGTGTCGTATGGCTTGGGGATCTACATTCTCAACCTCCTCATCGGCTTTCTCTCTCCTCAGGTCGACCCTGAGATTCACGACCTCTCCTCCGACGGCCCCTCCCTTCCCACCCGCGGATCCGATGAGTTTCGACCCTTCGTTCGCCGCCTCCCTGAATTCAAGTTCTGGTAAATTCCCCCATTTCATTATGTAGTTCTCGCCTTTGGTTTTAAATCGCAATTGCCCTGATTGTGTTTGTTGAATTGCCTTTTTGGTGGTCTCTTATTATAGAATTTGGTTTTGATTTTGTGGTTCTGTGTGGAAGGTACTCTATCGCGAAGGCATTTTGCATTGCTTTTGTTATGACGTTCTTCAGTGCATTTGATGTACCTGTGTTCTGGCCTATACTTCTCTTCTACTGGGTGGTGCTCTTCGTTCTCACTATGAGGAGACAGATAGTACACATGATCAAATACAAATACGTTCCCTTCTCCTTTGGGAAACAGGTTTGCCTTCACCCTCTAAACCAACCCATCTTCTTATTTCAATCATTGATTTCATGCCCATTGTCCTCTGTCTTCCGCGATTCCCATCTTTTTATTTCAATCATTGGTTTCATGCCCATTATCCCGTTTCTTCTGTGATTCATATTTGGTTGTTCTGATTCGCAGCGGTACGATGGAAAGAAAGCTTCTTCATCTTCAACAGAGACCGCAGGCCTCCTCCCCAGGGACTGAAATCTTCAGGTACATTCATTTAATTTTTTTCACTTCTGTTTATGCATAGGTTATAGGTGACAATTTATACTGATACATCATGATACATTATGTTAAATAGCCAAGGGTTTTTTTGGAAGATATATATGGTGTGGAGGAATCATCTTGAGGAGCTAATTCTGGCATCTTGGATGATTTTTTTGGTTCCCTTCGAATATCCCTCTGGACCAGCTTGATTATGTCCCTCTGTAATATTTTGCTTTGGGAAGATGAAGTGGTTGCTGAAGGCCTTTTTCCTTTTTGAGTTCTAGTATAAAGGATCCATTTGTATAGAAGGAACATGCTCTACTTTCTATTGCCAAATAATTAATCCAGTGGCATGTACTTTCATGAGCTTTTGCAGTGGGAAATTCTAGCCATCCTCTGCAATTGGGTTATGTCATTTTTAGTTGTACTTTTCATCGTGTACTTTAATCTGGGCTCAATGCACTTAATTTCCTCGGCTTAACGCGGAAAATTGTTGTTTATTCGGATTATGCTTCTTTCACATGCGACTCTTTTGAGGTATCAATCTAGGTGCCTTTTGCCTTATTGGTTGTTGTTTATGTTGGAATTGTAATTATTGTCTCCTGTTTGTGGCACAAGAGCTATGCCCAGCTTCTGAACTAGAGATGAAGTTTTACAATTTCTTGAAGTAGTCATAGACCATTTGTGGGTAGTAGTGCTATCATTTTAAAAATTGGAATCATACATAGACTCTGTGTTGAAGTTTGGATGACATTGATACCTTAGAGGACATTGTCGTGCCAATGATGAAGGGTTTCTTTGAGTAAAACTTTCTTTCATAATTTATTGCTTCAATTATGAGATCATAGGAATCATATGCATTAGTTACAATGTGTATCCAAAACAACCTATAAACTTGGTTTGTATAGCATGACTTGGCTTGTAAAAATGGATGAAATCACGGTATTGTATGGAATTTGTGCATCGCAACCACACTCACTCTGCAACCAAAGACTGTAAGAGGAAATGCTTTGGATGATGAACTTTAGTTTGGTGGCCTGTAATAGCCATAGACTCCGTAGAAGGTCTGCGCAAAAGTGAGAAACAACAAGACGACAGCGGCAACGAAGGAGAGGGTGGCCCATGGATTGTTGAAGTAGTTATGCTTCAAACTGGCGCGCCAAGCATTCCACCTGTGGTTGTAGTAGCGGTTTACATCCTCCGACAGACGAGAAAGATAACTGTCATTGATATCGAAAACCACCTCTTGACAAAGTCGGTTAAATAGGTCAGCAACCTCAGCATCGCTGCCAAGCCAGTGCTCAATAATTCCACAATAATGGAGGTACCCCACATCCTGTGGAGAGTTGATCAAGTTGTCCATGAAGATCACATAGGAAGTAATGTCATTGCCGCAATCAAGATGACACTGCTCAAACGCAATAAGATTGAGAAAAAGAGACTTGGTTCCATCATGGATCAAGAGCCTAGGAATTCTTAGAATCCCATTCTTGAACTTGACATCCCAGAACCGATCTGTCTTCCTTTTCTTGAACTTGATCCCAGCCTCCCTAAGCTCTGTAACACAATGAATCAACTGTTGCCTCCGCTTATCAGCAACCCGATTGGCGTGTGACCATTTCTTGATCCAAACTCTCGGTGTAGGCTGAAGCCCTCTGAGCAATAGACTTCGCCTGAACACATCAAGGCAATGAAGGCCACCTTGATCAGAGAGTGGATCAAAGGTGTTTGCATATCCAAGTGAAGACTCAAGTTTGTTTCTATCACTCTTTGTTAACGGCTCATCTGTTGGCATTAAAGGATCAAAAAACCGAAGTGCTAGCTTGGCTACAAGTCCTTTCTGCTCAGGATCTCCAAACTGCAGCCCCAACAGCCTATCAAGGATGAAAAGTGGAAGCTGATTCTCGAGCATGATCATGTCCCTCTGAATCGAATGCATCGAACCACGCATTGCAAAGATGGGATCATTTCGCGGGTACCCCAGTTGCTTAAACCCCTCAGCTGCACCACGAAACAGCTCCAGCACAAAGCAACCATCAAGCACCATCATTTCAACAAACTCATTGCTGCTGATCCCCATTGCAACTGGTCCTTCATAGCAAGCACGGGCCTTCTCTTCAACTTCTTTTATAGAATCCAGATAGAGCTGTATGTTCTGGTTGGTACGCTTGAGCATGTGGTGAAGCGAACGCCATTTGTGGCGATCCATTTGGCGAAGGCGTCTCCTGCCATGGTGGTAAGGCCCCAATGACACAATCTGAGGGACAATGGCTTTATCATCACCTTCTCTTAGGTAATGGGGGACTCTGTAGATGCAGAGCTTTGCCCACGTACCTGCTGCATCGTCTTGACCGGCTTGTTCAAGTTTGTCTTTGATGTTGATCACCCACTCGGAATCTGGTGACTTCGGTCCATCTTCATATTTTTTATCACCACCATTTTGGATCACAACTTGGAGGGGCGATGGTTGCTGCTCTTGTTTCTGCACCTGCTGATGAGCTTGTTCTGGTAATTCAATTGATCTGTTAGTGGAGGTAGGAGTTGTTGCAATTCCAGACTCTACTGTTTCTCTGAGTTTGACTGTGATGAGGTACCAGCTCAAGAGCTCTTTGTTGAAGACAGCAACCATTTTTGGTTGAGAATGAATTCTATGCTGGGCTTGGATCCTAAGCAATAAAAAGCACAACCTGCAAATGGGCAAGACAACTATGAAGGGGTTGAAAATGATGGGGTTGTTGCCAACATCATGATATAAATTGGGTTTAGATGATTTTTTTATTTGATACTTTAATAGACCTAAACCAATTATGCAGACCCTTTAGATGTAATGTTCTATTCTTACTCTCACGGCTTATTCTTGTGTCTCTAACTTGTGGGGTATGTTGTTCCATCATCATATTGTCATGCTAGCTATTTTGAATTTAAGAATTCCCCACTAGATCAGATTGAAGAGGCTCTCCAAGGAGGGGGAAAAAAACAGAGAGAGGATAAAATCAGATTTAAAATTTTAAAAAAATAACTAAATAGAAGTTTAAAACGACGTAATTTTAGACATGAGCACAAAATGAATCAGTAGATGACCTAAAACACCTAATTTTCCTTTCTTGTTAAAGGTTGAGAGGGTTTATTTATGAACTTTAATTGAAGCAAACAAGGTCCTACCACAAAGTCACACAAGTGGCTAATTAGACAACGAACCTAAAAGGTTTATGACTTTCTTGCACGTGGTAGAAAGAAGATGGGATAGATGATATTAATAATTGCCAGAAACATCCTGTTCTTGCATTTTTCACGTGGAACAAAGAACATGCACAGAAGAAGTTTACAGAATATTAATATTTAATACCAAAACAAAGGCTAGTTTGGTGTTTAATCGTGGCCTCCTTCCACTTTGTTAACAAAGTTGCAAGGAAATGATCTCTGTTATATGCTTTGCCAGTGAAACCAAAATTATATCCATTGCCAGCTCTGAGGGCTTCCAAAGGCAGAAAAGAAAGTGTTGGGAGCCCTGTATTCTCTCTAAACCAAAACCCATGTACTACTAAAAATCAGACAACCCAATCCCAAAAATGTTTAAAATCATTGGAGGCCTTGATGGGTTTGATGATGCGAGTCGTTCTGTGGTAATGGTGAGGTCATATATGTACCATAAATGTGAATTTTCATATTAGCCACATGATTCATTTGAATAGTAACTTCACTTAAATTTAATGAAATGATCTTGTGGCTAATATGAACGTCCACGTGATAGGTCTATCTATGACATGACACCATTATTATAGAATTTCGCTTGATGCCTCCAAATCAAACCTCAAGTCATTCCTTTACATGTGACATTTTGATTAATCAAGTGCAAACAATAACAACAACGCAAGAAACTTACATAAAAAGTGCCTGGTTTAATCCCAGGACCTAAATTTTGATTGAAATAGGAATTTGGATTGCACCATTATCAGTTTTCCAAGTGCAATTTCAGTACATAAATCAAACTATTTACAAACGATGGTTTATCCTAATCAATAAATAACAATAGCCTCGCCATCCTTTTTGTCAACATAGACCACAAAAAGAAACATCGGGCATGCAAACCCCACAATTTATCCAAAGACCCCATCACCATTTTCAAGCACTTGTGACCATTTTGATGTCTTCTTCAGCAAGGAAAGAGCTTGTTGGGTACTTTTGGTCCTTCTTTGTTGGGTAAGAAGCCTCCATTGCAATCCCACACTTGCCAGTGTATATGGAAGCCACGTTTCTCTCTATCTTAAAATATCCACTCTCACCCCAATTGGTGCCCCATGAGTTCCTCACAAGCCAATAGTCTGTTCCATTCTCCGTGCCATACCCAACAGCAACCACACCATGGTCCAAAGCTGACCCACATTCACCAGTAAACACACCCTGCCAATCACACCACCGAAATACAATGAGTAATTTACAGACATGTTATGTTGTTAAGACTGTTATATTTAAATATGCGGTGTCATATGCATGTAGGTGCTTACAGACTGGTAGAGTTGTAGAGCCATGCCACCAGCTTCAATAGCAACGCTAATGGGCTGATGTGCCACGGCTTTCTTCAAAGCGTTCTCATTGTAAGCAGGAACATCTTCGTATCCGTCGATGCTAACGACCTTATTGTTCTCCTGCAATTTATGATTCAAAAAAAAATTGTTCGTTAAGAAAAAAGAACGTTACCCTAAAAAGATTATTGTAATTAGGTTAATGGGGATTGAAAATTGGGGACTGACCAGAGCAACGTTACATTGTTGGTCGTATGCTTTGTAAGGGTAGTCCTTTTCAGTGTCCATGCCACCGTTTTGGATGATGAACTCAAAGGCATAGTCCATGAGGCCTCCGTTGCAGCCTGCGTTGTACGCCCTGTCGCAGTCAACAAGCTCTTGCTCTGAAAGAGAGACCAATTCGCCTGTGACTATTTGGTTAATGCCTTCCACAGCTGCCACTGTCGAAAAAGCCCAGCAACTTCCTGCACCCAACAAATTTCAATCTTTTTGTCAGATACGTTGGCCCATGTAGGCCCAGTGGGCCTAATGGTGGTCCTTAAAGGCCCAAACCAAACATGAAAAGTTGACTCTTCTGCAACTGATGAGAGATATTTTTTTTATGTATATAAATATAAGCGATAATCTAAATTAATAAAAACTACGAAAAAATAAATAAAAGTTTTTTAAAAACTCTTTTTTTTTTCTCTTCCTTTCTTTACCAATGAAAAAGTAATATTCTAATTCTGCTTTCACGTGAGCTGTCAGGAATCTCAACTCCCAACCGAAAGTCCAAACTACTAGCAAAGCCTTGGCTGCCGACCTTTTGGTGGATCAATAAATGCAATAGTGGAGTGTTACGTAGGGCATCCACTATCATTTACTTTTCCTTTGTGGACAGAAAAATAAATAAATAAAGTGGAGCATATTTGTACCAAAGAAATAAAAATAAAAATAAAAGTAGAAAGAGTTGGTGTTGAACACAAATAATCCGATTTTAATCAAACGACTTGAGTTATAGATGAATCCGAACACGACACGA